TCTTTCCCTGAGGCAAGCTAGGAGGAGTTATTAGGCTATATCTACTGAAAAGAGAAATATTTGTTCCATCCACTGACAAGATATGGACAGGCAAAAGTCAGTGGATGGAACAAATATTTCTCCTAGCGTCACCACAAGAGTGACTTATCAACAACGTGAAAACAAACCATGACTTGACTCTGTATATGTGTAACGGTTCTGCAGGCCAAGCAATGCCCCTGTTTACCTGTATGCAACCTTAGTCTTCAGTGGGGCTCAGTGAATGTCACTGGGAATTACATTTAGCCCTGCAACAAGAACTTAACATAACATTCCTCGTGAGTTTGAGGGAAGTACAATGGTAGCCAACTCACTCTTCCATAAATGTGTTAAGTTTTGCAACCTTAATAAATTAAACAGAGTAAATTCTTTGGTTAATAAAGCAAGCAGGTGTGACTAACTGCACATAGGGGAACAGATCTGATTAATAAAAAGTGCTATATTTAGTCACGAACCATTGCTTCAAGGGAAGGAAACACCAAAAATTCATATAAACAAACTAGTAAAGATGAGAAGTAGGTTTCCAAAGTATACGCAAAGACGCTTTAGGTTTTAAACCAGTCTTCCTAATTGGAGAATGGACTGGTAATTGAGCTCACATATTTCCAACACAATGAAGAAAAGACGCACTGAAAATGCCTCCTCTCCTCACAATCACACAAGTGTCTGTTTTTAGCCAGATCTCAACACCCCACAAACCAGCTGCCTGATCCTTAGCAAAACATTTTGTCTCTCCATACCTCTGTTTTCCTTCCTGTAAAATGTTTTGGGACTGACAGATGAAAAGTTTATTATTATTTCAGCCAAACTTTACATTGAGATTAAACTAAAAGAAACTCCAAACCTTTCCATCTGGGATTTATATCTGTTGCCTTTCTACATGGAATAACAGCCAGTGTCCTAAACTTTGCAGCTACCAATCTAATTTGGAATGTGGCGTTTCTGCAAAATCTTTTATGAAGGGGCAGATGATCATGAACATGAGGATCAATACTGCACATGCAAATTGCAATAGCAGTAATAGGGCTAACAACGGCTGGTTAGGTGCAACAGGTGAGTGCTACTATTAAGGTGCCTCTGAATTATTATTTTTTTTTTACTCATACGTTAAACGTAACTCCAGCTGGTAGATTTTGGCAATAGGCTAATACCATTAACATTAACAAAACTAACTAAAACGCTGGGTCACAGATGTAGCTGTAAGAACATGGTGATTCATAATGTATAATTTTGTCTTCTGCCCTATTTAAGGAATGCTCACAAAGGTGCTATAACTGTCAAATCTGTTTAAAAAATGTTGTGGAAAATATATGCAAATCATTCTTAGCCTGAAGTTTGTTTGTGAGCAAATGTTTGATGCCTGAAATTTGAGCTGTTCTATTTGGACCCGCAATATGTTTAAGTGCTCTGAATGGATGTTACTGTTACTCTCATCAGTACAAATGTTATATTCCTGACTATTCTGCTTAAACTTGCTCTTCTGTGTAAGGGGCTCTTTTGGTAGAATAGTCACAGAAAATTGAGAGAAAGGAGGCATAAACACAGTCAAAGTATATTAGTTTAAAAGTTAATTTATGTTAACATAAGTATTCAGTCAACCTTTAAAATATTGTCTGTTCAACAGCATATACATTTCTTTGTGAAACTATACAGATTCCATGTATTAACTAGAGATAACAATGAACTTCCTTTTTAATCTGTTGCATTTATGATATATTCTGCTCTTTTTCATTTTAAATATTCACATAGCTGTTTCAGTAGGCATTGAGTGGTTTGAATGCAGGTTTGGGAATTAGGAAAGCCCAGGATCTCAATGGATCAAAAATATTTGTTTACTAATTCTGTTTGCTTCATTTTTGGGTGCTCAGCCTGATTCCAGTGTTCAGACACAGGGCCTGATTCTCAGAGAAACTGGGTATTTCTAGCTTTTGTTGGCTTTCAGAGGCATAGAGTAAAAGGTTTTATTGCAGTGGATTATTTTTTAAACAAATACAATTAGACCTCTTTTAAACAATGAATTAAATATTCTTTTAGCAACATTCTCAGATATCTGAACTTTCATGGGCCTGATTCAAAGTTTATATTGAAGTTTTATAGAAAAGTTCCCTTTGTCCTTAATGGGCTTTGGATCAGGCCCTAGGGTTTCCTTCCCTGTTAAAAGACAAAATTGGAGGAAACTTGTGAATTTCAGCATTCTTGAGCATGGGAGTTGAATACTGATTAGAACTGGGTATAGAGCAAGCAGGGCTGTGCATACTTATTGCTTAACCTCATTGCCCTGGTACTGCATCTCAATCCTGACCTACCACACCACTGCTATTACAAGAAACTCTAGATTTTGCAAATAGTTAAAAATTGCTATATTTAGTGCATGTCTTTGCATAGAAACAGATATTTGCTGGGTGACAATTGAGACTTATTGGTATCTCTTACTGATACGTTTCCCTTTTAAAACGAAAGTCGACAGAACACTGGAAAATGTGTAATAGGGAGAAATCTTGCATTTGCGAATAGATTGAATATTCTGTTGTGAACTTCTATAAGCCTGTAGCGTTCGTCTATAAAAAGAAACACAAAAACAATCAAGCATAGTAGATGGACTGTGGAAAGGCTGTCTCGTCTTTTTTTTTAAGCAACTCAAGTTTTTTGGTTTAGAACTCATGCTCTCAAAAGAGGTGAGTTTAAAATTTAGGCTAGAAATCTTTTGTCTGGAGAATAATACACTTGGTGGAAGGAGCAGCATAATAGAACTCTTTTCTTCTAGTTCTGTATGGGCGAGCATCAGTCAGCCAAGGAAGAACTTCAAAGGCCCACAGTAGAAAGTAGCTAGGGTCTTTCTTAGCTGACAGGTTTTCTGGAGGTAAGACAGGAAGAGCTGTTTATGCCAGGCTTTGGCATCTTTCTCCTTCAAAGACAAGAGGACTAGGCTGTGTTGAAATTAAGGTGCTTGCATTGTGGATTTCTCTGCCCATGATGAAGTTGGTAACCCCTTTAGAGGTTATAAAGCTATCTTGCTAACTGGCCTTTTATCACTATTACATAAGGATACTTCAGAAAAATTACTTTTTGTCTTGAGGATGCATAGGATGGTACCGAAGGGACAGTGGGTGCATCTACATATTAATTAATGTGCCTATGCATTAAGTTTAGTACCTCTAATATGAGGTACTAGATAAAGGTGCAGTAGCTGTACTAATGTGCAGTAGCAAAGGCAGATTTTTTTTGTGATTTTTTTTGTGATGCTTAATAGGCAGTAGACATTCTACTGTGCATTAGCTCATCAGCACGGATGAGTATGTCCAGTATTTTCAAAACATGCACCCAGTAGAGAGAAACCTAGGTAGGCTACCTGCTCGATTTAATGGAAATTATTAATTAATTCATTAATGGAAATTATTCATATATTGTAGGTTGGGGTCTAGTCTTTCATCTGAGGCAATGTGTTATATAATAATTATAATAATAATTCAACTGATTATACATAATCAATCCAAGAATGTTATTTTTGTATTTTAACAGGGCTGGGTTGTAAGTACACTATGGCTAAGTACAGACAGTCAAAAGCCCAAGGCTGAATTGATTCAGATTTTGCCAATTAACCCAAGCTGTCAAGTTTGAACCGATAAACAAATGATCACACATTCACTTTTGATTCAGGAAATGCAGCCAGAAGCTGGGGGTGCTAGAGCATGCTTGCCAGCCACTTCAAGGTTTTTCCCTCCTCCCTGCTGGAGCAGCAGGGGCATGGCCAGACCTCAGACTGTGCTCTGCCTGGGTGGAGTGGGGAGAAGGTAGTAGCATTGAATTCATAAAAGCTTTAACAAGAATAGTTCTTTTTCTGAACAATTATAAACTGAAAATTACAAACACAGCCTGGGTGGTGTGTTTGCTTACTCTTTCTGCTGCCCCTGAGGTCTCTGGGATTTGCAGTCCAGCATCAGAGCAGCAAGACTCCACAGCTCCTCATTTCCTCTTCCTGCTTCCAGGTGCCCCTGGGATTTGTAGTCCAGCACTAAGTAAGCCAGCAGGGCCGGGCAGCTCTGTACTCTGGGGAAGGTGAGTTTAACCCCTCCCTGGCCCCAGCTGGGGTTTGCCTTGGGGATGGGAGCTGTGAGCCAGCCCTCACTCCTCTAGCTATGGAGGTACACTGCCTAATAGAGCTCTACTGCTTCAGCTAGGGAGCAGAGGGGCAGAGCCAATGCTGCTCTCAGAGCCCAGCCTAGCCCTGGGCTGGAAAGCATATTGGGGGACTCTGACTTAACTTGAACCAGGATGAGGTCTGGGACAGAAGTTTCATAAACCAGTTTGACCTAAATCAGTTAAGTTTCTACATTCAGTCAGGTTTATCTTAGATCAGTTTCAGCCATTCTGAAACTGGTTTATGTGCACTGAACTTCTGTTCTGCTACAGGTTTAAACACAGTTCTGATCACTTAAACTGGTTTATGTGTAACTCCTGTCCCTAGCCTATGGGTGCACAATAGCATTAACTGTACCCAGTGTAGATTTAGGCAGCTTACTTTAAGCCACCTAAATCTAGACTGGGAGTGGCACATACTACAGTCCGCCACTGCCAGGAGTAGCTTGTGCAGCTGTTTGCTACTGCTGGGAGAGTGGCATGGGAAGCCTGATATAAGCAACTTGGGGTGGGAGTGGGTCTATGGCAGTAAAGGGGAGGATGGTTAAAAATAGTTTCAGGGTAAGGAGGATAGGAAAAAGAATAGCACAGTCCTGGGGCTGGGGTGAGCATCTGGTTTTCCCAGCTCTGGGTAGGAGGCATTCTATGAACATGTGCAGGCATATGTGTGATCAGGTTAACCTTTTCTTGATCTAAGTTAGTGTACTTCCTGAGGTGCACTAACATAGATTGGCCATACCATCTTTTTAGCTGAATTTAACCCTCTGAATGCCTGCATGATTGGGTATTTAAATCAACCTAACACTGGTTGAGTTGATTTAAATGTAATGCTGGTATGTACCCTGTGTGTTTATCTATATGTCTGTGAAATTTGCACAAATGGTACAGGTGTGGGAGAATCAATTATTTGAAATTTTAACAGACGCAAAGAATTCTGTAAGATGTTGAGAAAATTGTGCTAATTCTGGAAATTTTTGATAGTGTGTCGTTTATGGGGTCTTAAATATATCAGAGGGTATATTTTGTGGTGACTTTCATAAATTAGAATTGAGTGGAAACAGCAGCTGAGTTTAACTTCCATTATTAATTTAAGGGCATATATAAACATGGCAATACCAAATAACTTGCACAGAGCATGTGTAAGCGTTTACAGAAGAAAATGAATATGGCTGGCCAAAACTAGCTGAGACTGGGGGAGCAACCAGTTATTCTGTAGTATGATGGATGGGTCAAAGTGTGATAAACTGGAGGCTGCAATATAGAGCAGTCTCCGTTTTCAAATCTGCTTGAACCTCAGCAGACACTCAAACTTCCCTGGCAACACACAAAAGGCAGTTTTAGGACTACTGAAGGAGGATAGCAGGCCACGCAGCAGGCTCTGTAGAGTTAGGTGGTAGCAGTAATTCCAGGGATGCTGTTGTGGTAGGGGAAGGTTCCAGTATTGTACTGAGCTCTGTACAGCATTTCTAAATAGCAGGAGAGAAAAGTCCTCTATACAAATGCTCTGGGTCTATAGAATGTGCTACAGATACCTCAGGAATAAAGAGAAGTGTATTGCTTGTAAGTACCTTCCCTAGTGTGCAGTGTCTGCTGTGTTTTGTCTTAGAGTGATTGTGGGCCTCTGGATTAATTGTGCAACAGACCAGGCTCATCAATTAAGGTTTTGCACAGCCTGCCCTTAGATGGCCTAGTTAACTAACCGCTCATTTAAGGAATGCATAAATAAAAGACCTAAATACAGAGCATGCGTAACTGCTTATAAAACTGTTGGCTTTGAGCTACAGAGTTCAGAGTTGTTCTAACCCAGGGATTTTGGTTCATACCTTTATAGATTTAGGAGCTAACTGAATGATTTGGAAGCTTAGAGTCAAACTTGTTGTGTTCCATCTGTCCTTATGTAAATCTACCTAACGGTGTAGGTTTATATATCCTATGAGAGGGATCCAGCTGCATCTCTTTAAGAAATCTGATTGAGAGACATGCATATATTCCCTGTCCACCAAGATGCTCTAAGAAACTTCTCTGTTGATGCACCTCTTGAAGCAGGGTTCCTCTGCACTATCCTTGGATTGGCTTGGCTTGGCATTGTACAGAAGTAGGATAACCCAGGGATGAATATGGAATATGGACATGGATATCAAATGGATGCTAATAGGTCATTCCCCATGCTCAAAGGCATGATAGTCATGACAAAGACCACTTTATACAATGTCTGCTTGCCAGGATTGTACATGAGCATTGGCTGAGCTGAGTGATGTTTGTGATTCTAGGTAATTGGCTATAAAACAAAGTCATAGATAGGTTTCAATGCACTGTTAACTTCCCTTCTCTCCCTCACACTCCACCTGATGAGAAAAGTATACAGCAATTGAGACTATCCTTAAAGAATTTAAGTGTATTTCTCTTATTTTATATATTCATGGTGCTTGGCATCATTAGCATGTTTTCAATACTCTTGCATGGTGGGACAGGAATATTGTTTCTGTCTCTGTCCTGATAACTCAGTCAAGCCACACTTAAAATACCCATTTCTTTCGATGGGAGTTTTCAACTTAGTGGTGTATAAAAACATTATGAATGATCTGGCAATTCAGCATCACTGAAATCCTATTTTGTGTTATGTTTGAATTGTTTTTTGTTTCAATGGCATCATAATTCTGGAATGCTGCCCATGGTTTTTACTGTGAGTGCAGTTTCTTTCTGCATGATCCTGTTCCTTGTGTACCTATTACTAGGGCATTTGACTAGTCACATTTTGCATGTCTCTCATTTTTAATCTAAATGTTGGTACATGCAACTGTATGCCAGAATTTCAGATGAAGGTGTTACTTTACCCAGATTCACATTAGTCAGCTAACTGAAACTTTGTTGCTAAGCCAGTTAAACAGAATAATGTGTTTTAGAAAATTACTGTTTAAAAAAATAGGAGGAGGGTTGGTGGTTCATATCAGAGAGAAGACTTTAATGGTTATTTGCACCTTTTGATGCTAACTGTAATTATGTTTGCATGAAAGCGAACATTTCTGAGTCAGCTTTATGGATTTTATTTTACAATATTTATTTCAAATGAAAAACACTTACTTATTAGTATGTTTTGGTTGGTCAATTTTAAAGGACAGCAGAAAATTACTTATTTCAAACATCTGAAAGCCAGACTAGAATTAATCAATCGCAGTCCATTTTATTATCTCTAATTTTAAAATGTAAAGCAAAAGAATGAAAAAATATACAGATACAGAAGGGCAAAGGAGGCTGCTTCTCTTTGGTTAAAACCTTGTCAGCTGTGCTCTGATTTTCAAACTTTAACTGAAAGAAAAGTGTTATTGGGATCTTGGTTCCATTTTATTTGACTTCCTGACACTTTGTGGCTGGGGTGGAAGCTTTTGGTTCGCTTCAGTTACTTTTAAGGAATTGTCTTGGGGGAAAAGAAGAAAAAGATATTATTGTTTCCCTTTTACACAGAGCATTTGAAACTCTTGCAAGCAGTTTCCACATATGATTTTTAAACTTGATATTCGGTGACAGAAGTTTTTAACGTGAATGCACAACATATTGTCAAATATTAATTGTTACTAATAACGTACATATATAGGCCTGCATGCGTGCGCACATACGCACGCATGCACACGCGCACACACACACACACACGCACACGCAATGGAAAGTAATTATTAGTGGTTGTTTTTCCCTAATGCATTGTAGGATTGGGAACAAGACGATAGGTTCTGTTCCCAGAATTGCCACTGACCTGCTGTTTGATGACAAGTCACCATGCCTCAGTATCCCCATCTGTAAGACACTTTTTCCATTTAAATATCTGGTAATTTAGTCATTATCTTAAGGGAGAGCAGGTTCAAGCCCCTAGTGTTTTCTTCATATACTGCTGTTTAACATCAAGAATGCAGTGTTTCCTATTCACGGTCTATAGCGTACATGCCACGTTCCTTAACAGATCCAGAAATAAAGTAAATGTTTGGAGAATTGTCAGATGTGTGCTAAATTTTTATTAATTGGATTTTTGAGATGTCTCAGGCGCATTTATGTCTATTGAATTACCCACTGAATTCCTTGGGAAATAAAATGTGTAAAAAAGAAAAAAAAGCAAGATCAGGTCCAGTATTTCATTATACTTATTATTACAGTCAACTCCTTTCTTTAAATTTGACCTAGTTACTATATATTGGTGGCTGAAAAGATAGTAAGAGACTTCCTCTTAAGCTCTTTTATATAAGATTTGGTTGATTATGAAGAGGCAACTAAGAAAGTTCAGGACATCAGTGAAATATTCTTGTTCTTCTGAACTATTAAAGAAATTGACTGAAGCATCACAAATTTATACTTCTACAAAGATATCTTTTAAGCAGCTGGCAGGAATTAGAGGGGTAATGTCATAGTGCAAAATTAATGAGGGCCAAAATCAGGTCTCAGTAATGCCAAGGTAAAGTCAAAATAACTCATTCGTTGAAACTCCCTTGGCTTTCCAAATAGCATAGCGGAGATTGGAATCTGGCGTTGCAGATCAGTTCAGTATAGTTTGAACAATGGAACGATTTAAGATACTTTCCTAAGGGAAGTCATGTATGTAATACATTGCCAAGTTCAGAATTCTGTTATAGGATTTTTTTCCCCCTCTAAGTTTTTCTTTTGTCTTTCTCCCCCTCCCACTTTTGTCTGGTGGGTACTGGTTGAGGTTTAAAGATTCCTTGTTGTTCTGCGTAATAGTGTAAGACAATTTATAGAATGAAAAAATGCATGTGTTTCACATTAAAACATTGAGAGGCCATGATCAGTGTTATACCATTTTAATTTTGAAGTGGTAAAATACAATT